CCACCATCAAAAAAGATGGGGGGTATATTGATTTTGTCATTCCGTTTGTAACACATCGAAATATTGATCATAGACCCACAAAAGTATATATATTCTGGGTCCTCATTAAAATTCTAAGACGATCTAGCCATGTCTGTCCGTCTGTCCGGCCGTCCGTCTGTCTGTCTGTCTATCTGTCTGTTGAAAGCACGATAGAGTCCGAATGGAAAGAGCTAGAGGGTTGAAATTTCACATAAATATTTCTTATAGGTAAGGTTTGTTTGGTATTGGAAATGGGGAATATCGGTCCACGTTTTCGGATAGCCCCCATACAAGTTGCCTCTCGAAAAGCAGCTTTAACAGCCATAACTTGTTTAAAAATACGGATATAGCGATGAAATTCGACATAAGTAAGTTTCTTATGATCCAAAATCACTATGCAAAATTTTATGAGGATCGGTCCATAATTGACCCTACCCCCATATAAGGTCCCCTTCAGAAAATGACTTTAACGCTCATTACTGGCTTAAAAATACTAGTATATAGATGAAATTTGACATAAGTAAGTTTCATATGAGTCAAAATCTATCTAAAAAATGTTATGAGGATCGGTCCATGATTGACCCTACCCCCCATATAAGGTCTCCTTCAGAAAATGACTGCAACGCTCATTAATGGTTTAAAAATACGAGTGTAGCGATGAAATTCGACACAAGTAAATTTAATACGAACCAAATTCTGTCTACCATATTTTATGAGGATCGACCCATAATTGACCCTACCCCCCTATATAAGATCCCCTTCAGAAAATTACTTTAACGCTTATAACTGGCCTAAATATACGAGTATATAGATGAAATTTGACATAAGTAAGTTTCGTTCGAGTCAAACGAGGTTTGATGGTGGGTATATAAGATTCGGCATAGCCGAATATAACACTCTTCCTTGTTACAATAGTATTTGTAACCAATTGTCTAGAGCGTGTGTCTAATGTGGAATTAGTTAATGGTTCTAATCCTAGTCAATATTAGAAGTTTTTTGAAAAAATATTGTTTTTTAAATTTTTGTTAAAACCATTCCAAATTGCACGATCAAATAGAATAGACTAATAAACACAGAAAATTAGTGCAAAGCCGATTTTAAATCCAAGAAAGTGGGGTTATCACATTTGTTATTGGTTATCGTCGAACAAAAACCGGATAGGTAAAGATTTTGCTGAGTATATTTTTATAATGGGAAATTTTCTCCAGATTTTTTAACTTTTCCACAAAAATGTGTAAATTTATTTTTGAACCATAAAAAATTTCTTAAAAATTTTAAAATTTTAGCACCTTAGATCAGACTTTTAGAACCTATTCAGGATTTTCATACATAAATTGTGTTTCCTTTTCATAATCGATCCAATTGACATTGGTGGTGGAGCAAATTGTGTTCTACCGTACTGTAAATTTTCCTTTCCCAATTGTTTTAAAAGCTCCATGTAATTTTTGCTTATGTAAAGTTATAATAAATTCGTTAATTTGTTCGATTGGGTAAAAAATCGGCATTTTTTAAGCAAAAATCGGGAAATCGGCACTTTCCAATTTGGAAGGTAAAATATCGGCAAATCTGGCAGACCTGGCCACAAACTTCTCGATGCGAGAGGTACAGAAACGAGGCACAGATATGCAGATTTTAGCTAGCTCGCCTAGTTTTGTCCAAAATATTTATATTGAAACTAATATTACCTGTACAAAATTAGAGGCGTTTTTCAAATGCAAATGCATATTTGTAGTCAGAAACTCAAAATAACTTTTAATTAGTTTTCTTTTCCAATCAAAGAATTTGCTACAAAATGACATCGATTTGTTGTTGCATATTTTGTTATAAATGCATAAATTGCACATTTTACTTTAAATTGCATATATTTTACATATTTCTAACATTTTTATAGCATAATTTGCATATTTATAATTTTTTTAACACAATTTGTGTTTTGTTTTCTTTGTATATATGTATTTAGAATTTTTTTAAATAAATATACAAAAATTTTGATTAAACAATAAATCCATCATTAAATTTTACATATGTAGTTTTATTTTGTTTTAAACCTAAACCACAATGGGGAGGGTATTATGCGTTTGTGCTGATGTTTGTAACACACAAAAATATTGGTCCTACACCCACCTTAAAGTATACCGATCGACTCAGAATCATTTTTTGAGTCGATTAAGACATGTCCGTCCGTCCGTCTGTCCGCCTGGCTGACTGTCCATGTAAACCTTGTGCGCAAGGTACAGGCCGCATGTTTTTTGGCACAGGGACGAAGCCTATTGAAATCGCTCCATTATTTCACCTAGCCCCCATACAACCATACCTCCCGATTTGGGCTTTTTATGCCATAATTACGTCAAATATACTATTATCTTTCTAAAAATTTGCCCAAAATAAGTTTTATATAAGTATAAATGACACTGCAGATTTTCGTTATGATTGGACCTTATTTGACCCTAGCCCCATACAAACCCCCTTCAAAAAAATGTCTTAAACGTCTAAAATTGACTTGTAACCATTTGTATCTCAATGAAACTCAACAAAACTAACTGTTATTTAAAAATATATCCTTTTTCCAAATTTAATGAGGATCGGCCCATGTTTGACATATACTCCCATATAAAGCCTTATTTAGAAAATTTGTTTTTTATCAAAAAATTTATTACATACTTTGCAATTAAGGTAAAATTCAACATAAAAGTTTCTTTATGAAAAATAAAAATTTTAAAAATATACTCATGGTGTAGGGTGTTATATGGTCGGCCATGCCCGACTATACTTTCCTACTTGTTTTACTTAAATAATGGCATAATTGGTATGCATACAAAAATGTTATTTAAGAACAAATTTTTTCTATTAAAAATAAACATATTAAACAATATTGTTTTATATTTTATATGAACACTGTGTAGGTAACGCGATTAACGCGTTCTATTCCGGAACGCTTTATATAACAAAACCCATTTGATTTATTTACCTGGCCGGCGGCTGATACGTTATGGGCAAATATTGAAAATTACTCCTCCGGAGTAGAATTATCCATTCGCAACAAAGATTCATTCATTCGTAATACACTTTTTAATGTTATTTTTCACATAAAATTAAGTTTTACTTAATTTCGAGCACTCACTAAAATTTTGCAAATTAAACTGCAGGAATAAATTTTTTCGTTTGAAACAAACATTATTCAATTCAGGATATATTTTCTGCACTAATTTTAATATCTTTATCATTATTTATTAATAAAATATAAAAATTTCACAAAAATTGTTCATGAAATGAATTCGCCGTACTTACTGTTTTTGACATCTACGTGAACCAAAGCAAAAACAAAATACATACATGTAAAATTTTGTTGTTGCAGAACTGCCACCACCTTATATAAATTCGCCTTAGGGTTAAAGATAGAATTTTTGTTTCTGCACCATTTTTCTCAACAAAAAGCATACTTTGGTTATGTGCAAAATAAAAATTATTTTTTTTAATATTTTTTGAAAAAGTGCATCTTTGGATAATATTAAATGCACTTTTGGAGCATTACAAAAGTGTAAATTAAGCTCATTATTATTGATTTTTTCTATAAAATCAATTATTAAAGCATGATTTCCTGTCAAATCTGCAGTTTCTGTTCTGTAAAATATGTCACTCAAAATCAGTGGTTTCCGCTTCAGATATGCAGATGAAGGAGTTGGAAAATTGTCCGATCCTAATAAAATTTGGTTAATGGATGTATTTTTGTATATACATACTAATATATTAATTCTGAATATTATCGTATGGTAACGTTTTTAAGAGAATTATGGACGTCAAATCCATTTTCTAAAGGATATTTTGCATGGGGGCTAAGGGAGATGTGTGTGCCAAATTTCATCAAGTTATCTGGACGGACCGAAAAACATTTTTTTTAATTTTTCTTTTTAGTAGAATTCAAATTCTTATTCATTAGAATAGTATTTTTATTCATAAAAAATTAAAAATTTATTTCGTGTCTTTTTATCAAAATAGTTGTAAAATTAATGAAATCCTCTAAAAAAATTAATATATTAAAATTAATGTGTTTTTTCTAGATAACGTGCGATTACTTTGAGCAAAAATTTTACTTGTATTTTGTTATTGTAACAAAAACAAAATATAAGTAAAATTTTCACTCAAAGTACTCATACGCTATCTATAAACAACTCCCTTGAATTAGGTCCTTTTGGTTTTAGTTATGTATTCAAAACTTACTTATAGTATATTTTATATTATGGTTACAAAATATTTTTATAATAAAAATTTAATACTTTTCTCAAATAATTTTCAAACATTTTTAGGTTTCAAACGATTTTGGCAGTTTTTTGACAAATATTCGGTAGGATTAAAATTTTCTCAGTGGCAACGCTGGATGTGATGGAAGCAGTGAGCATTCGCGCTGTAAACTAGTATTCAATGAAAACAATGCAGATGTAACGGATTATCATTTATTTGCAATTGGTTTGATTCCACTTCAACTAAAATAAGATAACAAACTAATTTGAAAAAGAAAGCAAGTTGCTAGATATGAAAAAGATAGATAATATAAAAGCTCAAATAGATAAGATAACCCCCACACAAGTCAATAATGAAGGAAAATTAATTAATGTCATCCATTAATTAATTATTGTCATTCGGTACGGCTTTGCAAAAGCTAGTTATAACTTTTTTCCGATTAGATTAAGCTCTTGGATCACTGTGCGCTGTTAGCAAAAAAATAAAGTAGGTAAAAAAAGGTGAAGATTTCATTTTCGCGTAAACTATATTAGATAACGAACGAAGAGTTTTTAATATTTTTCATACTTGAGCAGTTCTATTTTGGGAAACTCTGACCTTATATCGCCGGGTCCATAAAAATTACATTCAAATCGGAGTATCCGTTTAGAAATTTCTCTTTATGTATGTATTTTATTTTATGTCTATCTGATTTTCAATGTATTTTATGAAAATACAAATACATAAATTAAAATACTTACCATCTTTTTTGTAAAATATGACTTCTAATTTCAATTCAGTTTTATTCATTAGACTTTTTTCAATTTGTTGTTTGTGTTCATCTTTTGTTTCCGGCCCATAAAGAAAATGACAAGAACATCCTGTAATGAAGTTTCACTTGTAAAAAATAAAATCGTAGTTTCAGCTACTGACCAATGTTTTTACCTTTTTGCATAATTTGGGCACGAGAGTATCCTGTCAAATCAACGAAGCCATCCGAACAATATACAATTGGATTCCCATTTGCTTGTGCATTTCCGAGAACGAAATTTGAATCTATGATAAATGCAAAAAAAGATAATTATTACACTTAATACAATAAAGATAAATGTAATTTTGTTGGAAATGTTCATTTATAGAATATTTATATTTTACTAAATACAATAGGGAGAGTGTGCGCTTATGTTTGTAATGCAGAATTATTGATTCTAAAAACACAAGTGTGGCCCGTTTGTATGAAAAAATTTAGGAACTGATGTTGCCACCAAAAGTGAAAGGAAGATTTATTCTAAGATACAATTTTTGTCCTGGGGTCAATATTTCGTTAGCTTATGAAATTACGTGTATATTGACATTAGAGGTGCCCAAAAATACTAATTTTGCTTTATTTAATAATTTAATAATTTGTTTATTAGTGTTTAAAACGATCTGGTGTAAAATATAAGCACAACCATATAACGGGAATTAGTTAAATGTAAAATTACGTAAACAATAAGATATCTTCTAGAGAAAAATGTCTATCCAAAGAGGTATAAAACATTAAAATCAAAAGTGAACTAAACAAGTTATTAGTAGTTTCCAATGCCATATAATAAAAAAATAATGTATTATTTAATGATTTTTATTTGTCACTAGATGTTAATATTTTATAACTTGTTGCAACTAGAATTTTGTCTAGAAGATAAGATTTTTCGAAATATTAAGAACAAATTATTTTCCCAGCAAAAATAAAACGAAGTACTTCCAAAAGAATAACATTTGTCACCACTTCAAAAGTAGCAGTAATTGATTTTTTTTAGGTTCTGAGGAAGTTATGTTTAAAGACTTCTTACATTTTTATGAGATAAAAAATGTTTTATTTGAACTTTTGTATTAAATATGTCTATTACTCTAATTAATGTTAATATTATTTAAGTCAAATTAGTTGTATTCTATAATACTACAATTTCACTTCCGAATAACTTCAAAAAAGAGCATTAAAATTACTTCTTGCGAATGAAGTAGTAAATTTGAAATCAAATAAAAAGGACATCTCTCCTATGACAAGCCTGTGTTAAAATCATCACTTCTTCAGGTCTTTTTCAGTACTTCCATGGAGTAAATTTTACTTCTTTTTCGCTTCTTTAGAAGTTCTTTTGCTGGCCATAATATTGAAGAAATCATAAAAAATACTGTTATTTACCCAATTTTACACTTTTAAACCGATTTCCGGTAGGGGTTCTCGTTATCCATTTTTTTTTTAATTTTATACAAGTTTAGTTTGTTTATTAGTGCTTCAGCACTAATAAACAAAATAAGACACATACACAAAAATCGATTATTGTTGGACACCTCTAATACATATACATACATATATACACATACGTCTTTAACAAATAGCTAACTTAAGATCGGGTAAACAATTAGTTTTGAAAAATTTAACTAAAAACAAAATGTACATAAATTATAAATACAAAAAAATAAAAAATAATACAATTTTGTAATACTCTTTATGTGCAATACATAAATGTTTGATATGACATTGAAATCGACTATAGAAGACTCTTCCAAATGAAACTAAAATTGCCTACGGCATTTTTTGTGAGAAATATGAAAAAATCGTAAAAACATTTTTATCCTTACTTCAGCTCTTCAAATACTGACGCCAGCAAACAAATTTTTAGAAATAAAAAGATTATCATTTTCGGCGCGAACATCAACAACTTATTAATATCTTAAAAAATATGTTCAACGAAAGATTTATAAACGGTTTTAAAATAAATTAACTGAACAATCACACTTAACAAATAGCATACATATTTTTACTTACGTGTCCCATCGAATCGTGTTGCAATTGTATCCAAAAATGTATTTTGGGGTGCAAGTAGCCCCTTTCTAGCCGGCATTGGGTTTGAAGGTCTTTTATATAATTTTTTTTTCGAACAAATCTGAAATGAAATATCAATATTAATATTTCACAAACCTTTTTCCATGCAGCACTTATACTATAAAAAAGTATATTCACACCATATTTATTGACGGTTTGAGATAGACAAACTATTATCTATAGAGAAATTTTAATAATACTAGTATTCTTAATAAACGGTATTTTAGAAATAGACTAAAATTCATATCAAATAACAATTACATACAAATGAGCAAACTCTACGCATTCTCCTAAAGTTATCATATATACATATGTATGTAAATACATTAAACTAGTATACCCATACAAAATTTTGTTTACTTTTATAGAAAACTAGCTATACCCAGTGTGCTTTGCTACCCTAAAAACAGTATAAATAAAAACCGCACTTTATGATTTTTGAAGATTCTAGTTCTGTTAGTTTCCCAGTTATACGAATTTTTATTTTAATACATATGGGAGGTACCATAGCCTACAATAGGGGTATGGTACCTCCCATGTTCACATGAATGTGAAAATTCTTTGTGCAAAATTGTAGGATTCTAGATTCAAATATTCACATGTCAGGGTTGTTAGCGCAAAATTTAAGGATTTTAGCTCTAATAGTCTCTCAGATATAAAAATTTTTGTATTTAATTCATATGAAGATTCCAAGAACTCCAAATGAATGTCCGCACATTTTACTTCCAAATGTTCACTTTTATGTTAATTTTAAGATTCTAATTCATATGGGAAGTGCTACTTCCTATTTTGCTAGTCCGCCAATTTATTACCCAAATATTAAAATGAATGTCAAAGTTCTTCGAGGAGGATTCTAGATCTAGTAGTTTCCCAGATAAACGAATTTTTTATTTAATTCATATGGGAGGTAACACGGCCCCTATTGCTAGTCCGCTAATTTTTCCTCCAAAATGTTCACATAGATGTTAAGATTCCAGCTCCAATAGTTTCCCAAATAAACGATTTTTTGTATTTAATTCATATTGGAGTGCCACGCTAATTTTTTGTCCTAAGTATTCATGTTGATACTAAAGAGGCTCCGAAAAATTAGAGGACTCCAGCTGTTATATTTTCTCAGATATACTAATTTAAGATTTTCTTTATATGGGAGGGGCCACGCCCACTATAGCTAGTCCGCCCATATTGTCCCCATGTGTTCATGTGGATGTCAAAGTTGTCCATACAAAATTTGAGAACTCTAGCTGTTGTAGTTTCTGAGATATGTGATTTTAAATACTTATTATGTATGTGGGCGTGGCACTTTGCCCACATGAAATTTTAAAATAAAAAGTAGCCTATAGTTCCTTCCAGACACACAGGAAGACACTGTGAAAATTTCAGGAAAATCGGTCCAGCAGTCTATAAAGTCCAAACAAACATACATACATACAAACACACATTCATTTTTATACATATAGATTCAAATTGATTAAAAATTTCTTTAATGTTTCAGTTTTTTATGTTCAATAACACGTGAATAAATTCGCATTCAGGAAGAAGCTTGTATTTTTAGTTTCATTCGTTTAGCTTCCACATTATATAAAATTTCGAAATTACTATTTGAAAAAAGTACTATAAAATACCTCTTATAGATACTCATTTAATTAAAAAATTTATGTTTCTGTGTTCAATATTATAGACAATACAAAAAATATAATTTGATGAATGAAAAAGTACCAAAAGTCCCTTTCAGTAGATTCTCGCTAAGGTCTTTACATTTAAAATTTTATATTTCTATGTTCAATATCCTAAAAATATCAAAAAGTACCATCGGAAAAACGAAAAAAAATCTATCTCAAGAAATTCTCATTTAAATAAGATCGTGTGTCATGTATTCCGGTTAACCATTATAGAGAAACCAAAAGGTCCCATTTAAAAAATGGAAAAGTACCAAAGAGTATCTACTTACAGAATATTACTCAGTCAAGACCATGTATGTTTATGTTGCTAAGTTGAATATTTTAGAAAATTCAAAAAGTACCATTTATTATATAAAAAGTACTAAAAAGTTCTCTCTTAAGAATCTTATTTAATTAGGACCGTGTATGATTAATAATCACATACAGAGTATCATTTGAAGAAAGAAAAAGTACTAAAAGTGGAATAAATACTAATAAAAATAGTACAATTTTTCCCCTTTCCGCTTAGAAATATACTTTTTTCAGAATTAAGTTTACAAAATGTTCCGTATTTAAATCTATATATCACAGATAAAACTCAAACGATTCAAATCTGCATTCATTTGTTCCAGAAAAATTATGCTTTCAAAAAGGTACCAAATAATTTACGCGAATTTGGTCCTATATAGGCCTTAGTACTCGAGTTCGCAAATAATATACCAACAGCTTATTTTGTGTGAGTAAACAAACTATTTTCAATGAGTTTGAATAAAATTAAATTTCGTGTTTTTCACCTTTTTTGTACTTTTTTTCCCCAGTGAAATAGCAAACATTTTTTTTCAATAAATATTACAGAGTTAGTTCGTAATTTAATAGGAATAGTTCAATAAATCGAAAAGGTTTTCTTAATGTGCTAAAAAATACCAAAAATACAGTTTTCTCCCTTTTAAACAAAAAGTACTGAATTTTAAAAAGGTACGAAACAGGTGTCTCCAAATTTTGGGAGATATATTCAAAATATTTACAAAAATTTTATTAAGTTAAAAAGTTATAAAAAAACACATTTGTTACACATTTTCACCCCCCCTAAAAGGAACGAATTTCACAAAAGTACCAGACACCCATCTGCTTATTTTAAGAGTACATTTAAAATTTTTCTTGTATTACTAATATTAGGCAAGATAATTAAGAAAACCTGTTTTAAACGTTTTTTCCCTTTTTACTCCTAAATGTACAAATTTCCAAAAATCCCTCCTTAGTGGATCTACATAACCAAAAACACATCCACTGTAAAAATTTCATGATTCTAGGTTCAGCCATTTTGGCTGTGCGTTGATGAATCAGTCAGTCAGTAACGCTACTCTTTTATATATATATATATATATATATAGATAGATAGATGATATATTTTCATACATATTTTAATATCTAGCGTTTTACTTTATAATTGGGGATGCCAATAGGTAAGGTTTTTAAATACCTATATGTAAATTTAGGAATTTATTGCGATCGGGAAATGAAATTCATATGTATTTTAGGAAGCATATTCATACATCATGTAACTAATTTTGCAAATTTTTGCATACCACCACGTGATGGCCAATGTTGTATAAGTTATGAAAATATTTTTTTAGGTCATTTGGAATCAATAACATCAAGCACCAACACCAATTTATAATATATGTAAACCTTTTTTTCATGTTTTTAATTTTTTTATACCCTCCACCACCATCAGTGGTGATAGAGGGTATATATGTATAAGTTTGTCATTCCGTGTGTAACACCAAGAAATATTCATCTGAGACTCAGCAAAGTATATATATTCCAGGTCCTTTTCAAATTCTGTGTCGATTTAGCTATGTCCGTCTGTCTGTGTAAAACACGTTCACGTTAAAACTAAGCAAAGGAAATCAAGCAAGTTTTCCAAAAATATTCATTATTGGCCTGAGCAGTTTGGTATTGAAATTCAGCAATATCGGTTTACAACGTAAAAAGTTATGAGCAAAAATTTCTGATTACCTCGAAAAAATTAAGTTTTTTTCCCTAATACTCGAGTAGTTTTCTCAGAAACTACCGAAGATTATTCAATGAATTTTGTTACACGTTATTTATTTTTCCCAGGGATCAATTATGTTCAAACTCAAAACAATCGGTCCAAAATTTCCCATAGCCCCCATACAAAGGTCCATATTCTCGAAAATGGGATTATCGTTAATAATATCGTCCACATCACCACGAAATTTTACACATATGTATATAATATGGATAGAAATCATATTAGCAACGATAATCTGTATCGGTCCCATATAAGGTCCACTTCCGAAAATCACTTAAATGAACATAACTAATTAAGAAATATAGATATTGGAATAATATTCGACATAAACATGTTTTGCGTAATATTTTTCGGATTGATCCATAATAGGACATAGACATATAAGGTCCTCTTCCGAAAATCACTTAAATGTACATAACTAATTAAGAAATGAAGATATTGGAATAATATTCGACATATGTAAATATGTTTTGTGTATACATGTATCACTCTGAAAAATATTTTTCGGATCGGTCCATTATTGGACATAGCTTCCATATAAGACCTATTGCCGATAACCACGTAAACGCACATATTTAATTACTGAATGAAAATATCGGTATAAAATTCATCATGAATGTGTTTAAGGTACATATAAAACACCCTGCGAAATTTTTTCCGAATCGGTCCCTAGCGTCATGAAATAACTCCCCAAAACAAAAATTAAACCATATGAAACAAATCCCTAATTTAAAAATTAAATAAGTTCCCATGTAAAAATTCGACATCTAAATATAGAAAATAACAAATTATGGAAAAAGGCGGTTTTAGTAAAATTTAAAAAAAAGTATGTCGCTCGTACTTTTGAGTGGGGCTTCAAAGTTTAATACATTTCAGTTTAATCGCTTACTAAAGATTTCTTTAATAGCCGGTCTGTGGCCGGGCGCAAGAACTTTCTACTCTATGCTTTGTCCAATAACGGCTTCGCTTAATAAATATTTCCTAAGTAGGAAAGGATTTATCACTCTATCATATGTCCAACACCGGCTTCGCTTAGTAAAGATTTCCTAAAGAGCCCGCCTAAGGCCGTACGCTCTTGATACTGGGAGAGTGTGTTCTTAGCGAAGCCGGTGTCCAATATACCCCAGAGGATAAAACTCTTGCGCCCGTCCAAAAGCCGGCTATCAAACATATATTCTTTTATTTCGTGTGATAAAAGTGATACATATAATGAAATAACTCCCCAAAATTTTTTAGGGATTTATTTCATTTTTGAATTTTGAGGAATTATTTCATAATGAAATAGCTCCCCATTTTAAATGTGAAATGATGCCCCAAAAAGCGAATTAAATCCCAAATTTCGTTGTT